AGGGCGCGTGTTTGACATGTTGAACAGGCGCTACCTTTGTAAGTATGAATTCAGTGGTGCTCTTAAAAAAATCTCCAGTGTAAATCTCATACCCAGGAAGAGCTTTTGCTGGAAAGTGTAGTACTAAAGGAGAATAATACTCAGAAAGAAAGGACTGTGTGTGTTTCTGAAACTTCATGAGATGCTATTTTGTTTCGTTCCAATAGCACCTAAATGGATCAAAATGTTTGTTCTGGATGAAGCTGATGAAATGTTGAGCCGTGGATTTAAGGATCAAATTTATGAGATCTTTCAAAAACTTAGCACAAACATCCAGGTAAAAAGCTTTTACGTGGTTAAATTGATGGATGCCGATTTGATTACAGTGTGGCTGAGAACTGAATAATACAAATTGGTGCTAACATAGAGTAATGTGTTCCAGGTTGTGCTGCTGTCAGCTACAATGCCAATGGATGTGTTGGAAGTGACCAAAAAGTTCATGAGAGATCCCATCCGTATCTTGGTAAAGAAGGAAGAACTGACTCTGGAGGGTATCAAGCAGTTCTACATTAATGTGGAGAGAGAGGTTGGTATCAGCTGTACTTTTTCTGACAGGAGGACTTACTATCTCTTACCTTCTTGTTAAAGCACTGTACTAAAATTGCAGAAATCAAGGCTGAGCTTTGGTTTCTGCAATAATGCTAGTAGAGTACATGCAAGAAGAAGAAAAACTCAGCACTGGATCGAAAAGACTAGGGTGGACCTCTTTCTTAATGTCCAGTGTCCTATGTCTTAAGATTTGGTGCAACAGTTGATACAAAAACTTGACTTAGTGTCTTGTTGCAACTTTCCAGATCATACTAAATACTGTGTGTGAGAGGATGCTTTATTAGTTCTTGTATTCGAGTTTTGTACCTTTTTTGGGGCTCTTATGTATGAGCTGTACATGGCATAATGCATTTCCTTATCTTGTTTCTCTTCAGGAATGGAAGCTGGATACTCTCTGTGATCTGTATGAGACACTGACCATTACACAGGCTGTTATTTTCCTGAATACAAGGAGAAAAGTGGACTGGCTTACAGAGAAAATGCACGCCAGGGACTTCACAGTCTCAGCTCTGGTAGGAATTGATACTTCCCATCACTTCTGAAATGTCCTGTATGTACTGGGAAAGAAATGATAATGAGGGATATTAGAATGAGAAGCAGGAAAGTTATAATATAGCTGTGCAGTGCTGTATTATCGTTCCCCCTGCTGAAAGTAAAGTGCTTCCTTTCTATCCCTACCTGCTTCGTTCCCACGGCAGGTAGGGACGCTGGGTTTCACACACATGGCTGTTTCCTAAAGGATGTTCCAGTTTGCACCATTGGAACTGTACTGACTGCAACTTTTTTAAATTCTCCAGCATGGTGACATGGACCAGAAGGAACGAGATGTTATCATGAGAGAGTTCAGATCAGGGTCAAGCCGTGTCCTGATCACCACTGACTTGCTGGTGAGTGTTACCTTACACTGAACGTGTCCCTGTTATAACCTGGTGCCCAAAAGCTTCGTAAGTCAGTGACGGCTCTTGTAGCCTGAACTATCAGGAGCCTTTTGGAAGAGCAAAGACCACGACTCCACTATGGACTGCACAGTTGCAGTTCATAACTAACAATGTGGCTGACAAAAAAACCAGGATAGATATATTTTTAAGGAGCCTGTGACTTCCATTAATGGCTCTGTGTTGCTTTCCAGGCTCGTGGCATTGATGTGCAGCAAGTGTCTCTGGTTATCAATTATGACCTGCCGACCAATCGTGAGAACTACATTCACAGGTCAGTGGCTCTTCCCACCGGTGTGTGTGCTCTGCTGAATGTCACAGCAAAGGCACAGACCCTCGCCTCTTCTTCCCTGTAGTCCTTGCCAAAAACAGGAGGTGTTACTTATCCATGCATACAGTAACTGCTCAAAAGCCAGCAGGGAATAAAACCAGTTTTGGATGGGCTTTAGAAAAGCCCTGCGTTGCACAGCTGTGGTTCTGAAACAAGGGAGGAGCAGGACTATGGACAACAAAACAAAGCAGTGGGAAAACTTAGATGTGTAAGAGGTTTGGTGATGGCTGACTATTCTTGAGAGATGTGGGAAAAATGCCAGCTACTGAACTGCCTTTTGTCACGTAGGCTGTGATGAGCGATGGCAAAGCTGTTGCTGGCACATCATTCACAGCATTATCAGCTTAATTTGGGGTCCTGGCTGATCCTGCTCAGGAACCAGACAGACCTTACTACTCCTAGCAAGCGAGTTGTGTAGGGCTGCCTTCGCTTTTGGAGGTCCAGTTGTGTTCGTGTTGTGTGTGCCATGTTTGCTCTTGGTGGCTCCTCAGTGGGATTCTTTCTTCTGTGGCGTGTCTTCTGGTAGCAGTCTGTTCCCCTAGGTTTAGTTAACTGCTTCTAGTGACTGTCCCTAAATTAAGTAAACTGTGCTTTGTTACTTGATGTAAAAAAATACAGGAGTCGATAGCAGCAGTTGATGACACAAGATGGTGCTCAGAAACGGCGTTGACGTAATTTAGGACGTGGATTCGTAAGCGGCACAGTTTGAATAAAGAGCGAGTTGGTATTTTTTTATTTCTTTTGTCATGATTACCCCTAAGTTTTGTGAGCCATTTCTGTGTGTTAAGCTCTTGCTGGCAAAGTGCTCTACTGTGCAGTCTGTAGGAAGGTAGAGCTGATGGTGGGTGTAACTAAACAGTACTCACTGATGTGTTAGTGACCAACGTGGGCTTATACAAAAATGTTGGCCTTGGATTTTGCTTTTTAAGAAAACCAACAAACCCTAAGTTTTCCCACTGGAAACAGGTTGAACTAAAATTCTGAAATTCATTGTGCTGTTCTATGTTACTGGATGTAACTGGATTTGGTAACAGTCTGATTGTTCAACAACAGCCTGTCTTGTGTGCCCTGTGCTTGGGATTGGATGCATGAGGGAGGGGTGGGTGTGCAGTTGAACAGAGGGGAGGGAGACTGACCCAGGACCTCACACAGCAGCACCAACCATTAAATAAAGATCTTACTTTGCAGCCAAAGAGTAACCGTGTCTGCCCTGCTGCCACCATGGGATGGACCTTCTGCTATGCTGCTGGCACCAGCTGCTGGTTTTTCCTGACCAGAGGTGACTTTGGTGGCAGCTGGTCCTGTAAAGGCAGCCTAGGCTGGCCAGTGGCAGATGAGAGCAGCAGTTTGTGAGTGGATCTTGCAGACACGTAAAGCAGATTGGAGTGGTTAACTTGGGTGTAAATGTGCTTTCTTTTTGTGCAGAATTGGTCGGGGTGGCCGGTTTGGCAGAAAAGGTGTGGCTATCAATTTTGTCACTGAAGAGGACAAGAGGATCCTGCGAGACATTGAGACTTTCTACAATACTACAGTGGAGGAGATGCCGATGAATGTGGCTGATCTCATTTAGTCCCCGGGATGAGGTGGTTGTGAATCCAGTGCTCGCTGTTGCTGAATAGGCGATTCACAACGCGCATTGTGCTTCTTTCTTTGGGGATACATTGAATCTTGTCTCAATGCTCATTACGGATCAGAAATACAGATTTTTGATAAGAGAAGCGACTTTGTGTCGTGAGCTCTTGTGGGGAAAGCCATTGGCTTTGTCCACTTTAGGGTTAGACTGTTGGGGTTGGGTGGAAAGTCATGGGGTCTGTAAATTTTTTCTTTATTAGAAATTTATTTCCTAGTTCCATAGAAGTGGTTGTATTAGATGTTCTTTATCATTTAATAATTTACTTATGGACTAAAAGATATAAGTGCTGTATAAAGTCAGCCAATTATGTTAAACTAGCCTACCTTCCTTTATTGTATGTACTTACACCTCAGATTAAATTGGAAAGGCCTTTCAAAATCTCTAAACTTTTATAAGAGCATTAAAATGCATTTTTGTTTCATATGTATTTATTCAATAAAGTATTTAATTAGTGGTAAGTGTGATTTGGACCCTGTTGCTAAGCCCCAGCAAGCAAGCAATCATACTATTGTCTTAGTTAGGGTTAAACCCAGTAAAATTTGCCATATTGCACATGTCTTAATGAAGTTTGAATGTTCAATAAAATACTTCTATATTCACTTAAATTGTAAATAGTTGCTTCTTGGGTAGAGGGGTCTCACTAGAAGGGTGACAGCAGCCTGGGCTGTCTCAGGGTGGGAGCTGAAGGTGACAGGGCCCAGCAGGCAGCTTTGTGCTTGTGCCCAGCCCCCCCCCCCCCCCCATGCTGTGTCATTAATTGCAGGGGTGTTTCTGGACTAGTACCGGGCGAGCTCCAAGTGCCAGAGGCTGTCCCTGTGTGACACAGCTCAGGGGTGCTGGACAAGAGTCCTTATACTGAAACACCCTCTCATCAGTGTAGAAAATGGCTCCCTTAATAATCAGGGCTGGCTGACAAAACTCTGCACTGCAGCATTTTTGCCTCATTCCTGTACAAGGGCACTGGTTTTTTAACTGCACTCAGGAAGGTAGGAGGGGTGTTCGGAGCATTCTCTGAAGGGAAATGTCCCAAAGCTGCTTGACCCCCCAGAGCTGTGTTCATCATCCAGGTCACAGCTTTTAAATGGGTTGTGAGCAAGACCAGTGATGCTCAGGCAAGATCTGTAATGTCTTCAGAAGATGACCTGCCCTTCGCAGTTTTTCTAAGGTAGCTTGAGTGAAGTAGAACTTGCAATATGCTTACTAGAAAACTTACTTTGTGACATTTAACATTAAACAATCAGATACAAGATAGAGGTGGCAGGGGATGTGCTCCTTCAGGAGGTGGGTTCAGTCTGAAGTGTAATAGGGATGTGATCATTTTGCTAAGTCAATTCATTCAAAACCAACAGGGGTTGCTGTGAATATCTCCTTCCTTTCTCTGCTTGCAATTGATTATGTTTTCAGTCTACGCACATTTTTGATGACTTTACCCTTCCATAAGTGCAACACAGAAGCATTACTGACCCCACTGCTCTTTAACTGAGTGTAAAAAAAATGAATCAATACTCCAACATGAGCTTTTCCAACTGCTGAGCAGTCCTTTTATTGCAAAAAACCAGTACAAAAGTTCATGGGTCCCTGGCCTCAGAGCCACAGCCAACCCTGGAACAAAGGGCCGCTGGAGGAGTCAGGTGTTCTGTGTGAGCTGCTGCATCACAAGGGCACAGAGACTCATCAGCTGCAAGAATTCATCAGCACCATCTGCCAGGCATTTGTCCACTTCCTGCAGACAGAACAGAGGAGGTAAAACCCTCTGAAAATGGTGCTCGTGGCGTCTGTGTTTTGGGGTACAGTGGAGAAGCCCAAGGTGAAGTTTGGCAGCTGTTTGCTGCATTGGCACAGATTTCTCCAGCAGTCACACACTGCACACCCCTCCTACTGAACTGGGAACAACGAGCTCTCCAGCCTCCATCTCCCAGAGGAGGCCCCAGCATGGCAGCTCCGCACAAAGGGATGCGCCATTGGCTCTGAAACGACCGGCCAGGAGCATCCCTGCAGGGCATCAACACTGCCTGCCCGTCTGCAGCGAATTTAGCAAAACCTCCACCACTGCTGCCTCTTCTTTTTGGTCAAAATTTAGTAAGGTAATGAATTTTTAATTTTTTTTAAGGCATATTTTACACATCAGAACAAAAACTTGCATTTTGCAGCTCCTAAATTTTTTGAAGTGATTACTTAATTTTGTCTTAATTTTCCCTCCCACCTTACATCAAAAACAACCAAACCCACAAACCTCTTGCTTGAGTCCCACAACATAATATGAACAATAATTCACTTAACTGGGTTTCAATTCCTTCTCATGAAATTTCTCAGGATAAAAATTTAGGTTCTACCAAGAAACACTCAGAACTGAAAAAATGATCACGTACTTCTTGGGAGAGACTGTCCAAACAAAAATTAATCAGTGAAGATTAACGTGGTTTAGGTTTTTTGACTGAAGCTACAGACTCACCGCAAGTTTTTCCACTATGACAGATTTCTGCTTGTCACTGAGATCTTCACTCTCCACCACCGTGTCGTGCAGCTGGTTTACAAGCTGAGCAACAGCAAACCCCTCATTGATGAGATTCTGTGCCATGGAGAGAAGAAAATGGAGGCAATTCAACTGGAAGCCCAATCTGAAAAATTCTATCTGAACTGAAAGACTGTGCTGAAATTTAGGACGGAACTTCTGCGTTTTGGAGGACACTTCAGTAGCTTGTGCACAGCCCTGCCCTGCATCTGCCTGACAGGGTCCCCAAGTGAGCACCCAGGAAAGGCTGCACAAGGAAGGCAGGCACAGAGCAGTAATTCTGCCCAAATGTACTTCCAGCTTCTGCCAATTCGCATCTCGTGGATTTTCTGAGACATCTTAAACATTTAACAACCTCCACTGAACCTGTCCAATCTTATTCTAAAATTAGGAAAGGCTGGTATCCACAGCATCATGTGGCAGCTTCACAGCCTTCCCGTTTTGAACTGCCACCTACTTTGATTTATTTTCTTCATCTGGTAGTTGTTAGTCTCAGGCATACAGAGATCTGTAAGGCCAAGGCTCTTTTACTGAAATAAAACCCATGGTAACTCAAGATAGCTTTTAAAAAAAAAAGCAGTAGTGCCCAGTTACAAAACCAACAAATACAGTGGTCGATGAAGCCATTTAGGAAGAAGGAAGTTTATGAAAATAGAAAAAGAGTTGGTGCAATCTTATTCTTCTGTACAGCTAAATCCACTCCCATGCTTTACAGAACTGTGTGTCCAATTGTGCCACCCACCATGAAGCACCTTCTCTAGCAAGTGGAGAACATTTCCAAACCACTCCATTAGATTAGATCAGGTCACGGCTTGATAAAAGACTGTGCCAGCCCTGAAGGTTTGGATAATCCGTATCATCACCTCTTAAATCAACACAGTTTCAGACACCACGTAAATAAATGTGAAAATGTAAGACAGGGATGTCTGCACAAACCCTTCCACAACAATTTTAAGATCTGCTGCAAGTTTATAGGAGAATAAATCCAGACTCGAAACCAAAGGTCCTGCCAAGACCATCCAGTGAGGCTCAGCCAAGCAAAAAGCAGGAGGCTGGTCATACTGGGTCTTTTCATAAAGCCATGGAACATTTCACTGGAAGGGGGAATGGTACTGTGGCTGGCACCCTGTCAGGGACAAGTCCTTGAGTTAAAATCCAGTTCAAGACTGACTGAGCCTGCTTTAAACCCTTTAGATGACGAATTTCCCATTATTCAGAAAAATTCTGTATTAAAGAAAATAACCCCACCTTTATATAACAGTAGCTTGTGCTTCCTCCAGCAAGGTCTACTTTAAGTCACTGCAATTTGTCTTACAAACTTAATCACCAGTGCATCATAAGATTAACATGAAATATTTTAAAACTGAAGAGTTATTACAGCTTTATTCAGATACTTCTCATCTAACACAGCCTCTGAGCAATGAAGAAGGTGACCAGTCCAGGGACTACTCCAGTCCTCTGAAGAGACAGTTCTAAAGGCCTGAGCCAAGTGTGTCCCTCAGAAATCCTCCTCTGCCTAATTCAGCCTAACAGCTCCACGTGCCACCACTTAAACTCAGGAGAAAACCAGAGTCCCACTGGGAGGGAAGTTTATTTGCAGCTTTGACAGCTCTTCCTCAGAAGGGAAAGCCTGGTAAAAGACACTTCCCAAAATGTGAATCCAAACTGATTAAGGTCAATGTTCTGCTGCTGCAGCCCAGCAACAAAGGATTCAAAGGGCAGTGACTGTGGAAAATATTGAGGCTGGAACACTAAGAGGACTTTACCTTTGCCAGTGTTTCCAGTTTCTCAAAGGAACCACTCTGGCACCCCAACAGCAGTTCATCAATTGTCTCTTTAGGGATGACCTGTAACAAGAAGTGACATTTCGTAACTTCTACTTTGTAAACTTAAAATTGAAGTTGATGCTTACAGTAACAGACACAAACTGCTCACAGTAGAGGCCATTTCAGCATTTCATTCCTCTACCACACCCAACCACTTCAAGCAAGTGTATGACAGACCCACGAAATTTTAAAAGTGAAAGCTGGGCTGTAATATTTGTCCTATATTGGTGACATTAAAACAAAAACCATAATGACAGTGAACTGTCAAAGTCACCTTCATAAATCCAACACACAACTGCTTATTCAGGACACTAAGTGGAGGACATACTTCAACATTTAGATCAGACAATGCTTTCTGTGGCATTCTACACTAAAACAACACAGCAAATCAGTTTTATTTCCAAAGACACACCAGGGACATCCAAAAAAAGCCCAGTGCACTAAAATCAGACAACAAATCAGAAGAAAACAGGTTGACAGATGCCATTATTTCGCTCTGTGCAGGGAAGAGCTAACCATTTTCCCCTCTACTTATTGTCATTCCTGTCAGTTGAGTGTCTGGACAGTTCAGTTTCAAAGCTTCTTTATTCAGGTCACTCCAGGGTCACAGAAGTTATGTATGACCAAGAACTTCAAGTTTTTATGAAGATGTAAAGTTGGGTTCCTTTGGTTTAAACAAGCATGACTCATTCAATAATGGAATTTCATGCTTCTCTTTCCTGTCATTACAGTCAACTTCTGCCAGGTTTCAGATATCTGATATCTGTTCAGGTATCAGCTCTGTTTTACAGCTAGATACACAAAACTGAACAATGACTTCACTGAGAAAATTGCTTAAAATTGTTCTGTAAAACACTGCACAGAAGCAATTGCCTCTGGTTCCATTAAAGTGAAAACCTCCCAGCCCTTACAATTACCTGTGATGGCAGCACCTTCAAGGGAAATGCATCCATCATTAAAGCCCATTTATTTTTCAGGTCCTCAACTCCAAATCTCCCATTTCTTGCTTCAGGGGGTAAGTGTTTTGTTGCTATAGGAACACCTTCACACATGTTTTACTAAATGCATTTCCTCCCAGGTTTCTCCTGTCCCTGTCAGTATTATCTATGTCATTCTAGAATAAATCACTGCTGTTTTGTTAAAAAGCAGGATCTACACAGATCCTTGAAGAGACACTGTCACTGTGAACATTTAGGTTGTAAATGAGCTGCTACTGCAAGTCATTCCCCTGTGGGGCTTCCAAACCATATTTTCAATGATCTATACTCATATATACACACACATATATATAAAAGAACCAAAAAATGTTCTAACCTACTGTTCCACAGAAGGCAATACATTTTGCATTTATGGGCAGAGTATTTCAACTGCAGTTTGAATTATAAGACTATTTTACAGTTTACCATGATTTACAGAAGAAGTTGCTAGAAACTTGGTATGTAATAAGTGCACAGAATCAGGCAGTCGTTAAAATTCTGGTGGATACTCTGTTGGTACCAGACCGCAACACTAGTGGGTATCAAACAATTTTTTAATCAAACTTGAAGCAACAGTAGATAAGGGTAACAAAATGTTTGTCAGAGTAATTACAGGAGAAACTGCAAAGTACAGCTTACCCCAGCAATTTCAGTGACTATCTTCTCTGTGATCTCCTTCCCACCCATTAGGCGAGTGGCACTTTGAAGGAAAGTAATTGCTTTTCTTAAATCCCCTTCTGACACTTTCACAAGGTACGACACTGCCTGAAAAACAATGTCAGAAAATACTAAATGATATGTTCACTGTTAATTAAGAGCCAGTACACTTTTTTAACATAGTTATTTTAAAACATCAAGTAGCACCCAAAGCAGATTTTCAGAGCAAGGCTCAATACACAAGTCACAAAGCAACCTCTCTACTAACACAAATGTGTGCTGGCAGTTTCAGAATGAAGCGCAGTTTAATGCCAGTGCACTCAGCAGAGAACAAAAAGCCCTCCAGTTTAGCTTCAGTCTTCTCTGCCGGACACTTCTCTGCTTTTACGACGACTCTTAAAATTCATCTCGTCTACGGAAGGAGAATAATACCTAAGTGAGTTTATGCATTGCATTTCGTACAGTTGAGCAGTCTGCGAAAGTATGCTGACTTGGCCTCTTCCACTGCCATGCACTGGATTAAGCAGTAAAACTACATGGCAGCCACGGAGTTACCTCATTACTGATTTTCACGTGCTCCTTCTCAGAAACCTCCAGCAGCCGCTGCTGTTGGACACTGTCCGACAGAGGCTTGAAGCGGAATTTGGAGCATCGAGATGTTAAAGGTTCAATTATTCTGAAAGAAAGGAATGTGTTTGGTAAATCAACCTGTGGGCCCAGACAAAGCTATCAAGGTGGAAAAGGTTTTATATGACCTTAAAACCGCAACACTGTAAAAAATAAAAGTTGAAACATAAATATTGTTTCAGTCTTGCATTCATGTAGCTACATCTCTATTAATTGAAAACTTGATATCAACCTCTTAGTGGGGAAAAATAAGAAGAGACTACAGAACAGGCAACAAGTCCAAATAAGCAAAAAATCCCACATGTACCTGCTGATGTAGTTACAAATAAGGCAGAAACGTGTTGTTTTCGATTCCTTTTCCATGGTGCGTCTTAAAGCTGCCTGTGCTGCTGAAGTCATCGAGTCTGCTTCATCCAGGATCACAATTTTAAAAGGAGGACACATTTTACCACTGAAAAGTAAGAAGAAACCTGTTATCCAGGAGACATGCAACGTACAGACCAAGGGGAAAAAAAAACAAACGAACAACAAACACTTGAATGCTGCAAAACTCCTCTAAAACACATTCCCTTGCTGTTTCCTCTTTTAACACCTAAGGTAGCTCTTCTTTTTAAAGGCTTCCTGATTCCCCGAACTCCGAAGAACACTGCAACAGACTGATTTCAGTACACAAGACCATTCTTTTTGCCAGACAGTTGTAGCATTGCAGTTTTTTCCAGCTACTTTCCACAGTCCATACACATGGCTTGACCTGCACAGGGTTTCTCCCCACCTGATGCCAGAATCCTTTCAGCATCTTACAAACTAAACCCATCTCGTGTGAGATGCTCCACTAGAGGTACTAAGGGAGTAACTTCCACCACGATTTATGCAAGGAGATCTTTCTATGGTAGCCAAACATCTGCAAAGTCAACAATGTGTGAGCAAACCCAGAAGTCTTGGTCTTACAGGATTTTCCCTGTCTGCCTCCAACGTTAACAGCACCAGCAAAAGATCCTCCCGGGTATTCAAACCCCCCAGCACAAAATTCCACGAGGTCAAAGCTCAGCCCAAGCCCTGTGTGTTGCCAACTTCTGGGCAGTGCTGACCCATCATTTATACTGGAAACAAAAACAACCACATGCTTTGTCCAAAGCAGGAGGGGTTTGATCCAGCACTTACTCTGAACGGCTTCCAGATGCAGTGAGCTGAGCAAAAGCTTTCACTTTCTCCCGAATCACTTGAATTCCACGCTCATCAGAAGCATTTAACTCAAGGACTCTTTGCCGGAATAATTCAGGCCTGCAAAATTTTTATTGCAACATGTCAGGTGCTAACCCTTGTAATGATACACTACAGAGTGCATCAACAACCCTTCTGGCTGTTTTGAATGGCAGGGATTATTTTTATCAGCATTACTAAATAACATTGTTAAAAGACAGTGAAGTTGAGGTCATTAAATGTTAGATATGAATTTCCATTAGCTATTTTTAGAATCTCCTCCCAGGCTACAGAAAACAATGAAGTATAAAATTACATCAGTTATCCAGGAAAAAAAAAAACAGTAGGAAGTTGGCTTCATAAGTTCAGAGCACTGTATTATCTGCCTTTTTACTTATATCCTGAGAGCAATGTGGAATAACAAGTAAAATGCCCAGATACAGTCACTGGCAGTACTACCAATGAATTATCTACAAAGCATAACACATGCATATTTAGCAGCAGTACTACACACCAGCAACTCTGATTTTAAAAAATCCTCAAAAATTAATAGACCGGATTTTAAATCCTGGGAATCAAAATGGACTCACAACGTGGAGTTGTCTTCCTACTACTAAAGAAGAAGTGGTTCTCTCTGAAAAACAGTGAGTCAGAGATTAAAGATGATGAATGGGATGGGGGGAGGTACTGAAGTCAGCACTAGATTTGATAGTAACATCAAACACCTCCTCTTCCATACTTTGGTTATGGATCACTGAATTCACTACTCAAAAAATCCCAAGTGTTCCAAGTGAGCTGATGAATGTACACACACTGAATTTCAGTCTGACTCCCAGTACTGCTTCCAGACACAATTCAGTGGTGCACAGAGGAGAGATTACAGTACTTGAAGAACAACTTACTGAATAAATCGTAAACACTGGAATTCCTTTACAAAGTTCAGTAAGGCAAATGCAAGTCATATTTTTTTCCATGCTCCACTATAGGGTTACATGGCTGTTGGTGTTAAGTGATGTAAGTCTGTACTGGTAACAGAAACCAATGGCTTGTGGCAAGACAAATGAGAAAGAAATCTCATGTTAGAGCTGAATTAGAATGTGAAGATATTCCTGAAAAAATCCTGGAAACTACATAGGAGCAGGCAACGACCACAGGCATTGTGTCACATGATTAGGAGACGTGACTTGTCGACTACACCGAAGCAATTTGATTCCAGCTTACCCAAACAGTTCTCTGGCAGCTGCTAAAATCGTGGAAGTCTTTCCAGTTCCAGGTGGGCCATAGAACAACAGATTGGGAAGCTGAAACAGCCAGGCACCATTTTTTAGAAAAGCAAATAAGTAAAACAAACAAAACCCAGCAAAACCTACTGAAAATCTGAGCACCTAATAGAGCAGAAACTCTCTACTCCTCAGAGTAAACAATACCAAGTCTTTCACTATTAGGCCTCTAATGGAGGACAAACAATTGCTGTTTATAGGACAGCATGAACAAGCTGTTATTTTGTGGCACCATCACATGTTCTACCAAAACTGATATTCCCATTTTTATTTTCTTTATATATATATATCCTCCAAGACACGTCTGAGATCACTAAGGCCTTCAGAATTTACTGTTATGACTGCAGTGACATACAAATTTACCCAAGCGTGACCCTCAAGCAGCCTGGGTAACACCAGCAGTGCACTGTGACTGCTCACAGGTTAACTATCCCTTGCTCTCTCAGCTCCCCAGACCGCCTTGTTGCCATGCTGGGAATTCTGCACTGCCACCAACTCCAGTGCAGTGAGCACAGGGCAGCTCGGGAATGCCCGGGCTGGACTGAGGGAGGGCACTGCAGACACGGTGACAGGGACACTCCCTGCACTGCACAGCCCGGCCAAACTCACACCCACCCAAGGATTTTTCAAAGGAGAGCAGTGGCATTTCTTAAAGAGATTAGGTTAATTGATCTTTAAAATAATTTAATTAATGATCTCAGCATGAAAAAACCAGGCTGCATTAAGGAAAAATGCTGACACAGGAAGATCAAAGCAGCACAGTAAAGACTGCAGTAATAATTATAGGATGACATTTGGCAGCACAAAGCAAAACAATCTCCCAGTTTGAGAATATAACTAAATATCTGCTAGATACCTGAAATTCACCAGTTGGAACAAAAGATAAGCTGCTTTTGTTTTGTCTGTCAGAGAGCTGCCATAAACCAAATTTGTAAAAGCCATGACTGAATTCTGCCTGAAATCAAGGAGCTTTCTAAATAGCATAGGAATGACAGCTTCCTATATTACTGTCTCAATTAATCCCTTTTATAAATTATCACTTTAAAACTGCTGTCTTTAACAGCAGGAGATGTTCCAGTTCTACATTTTTAAAACAAGAATCCAAAAATCCCCTCTGATCAATAGGAAAAAGACAAACCTCTCAGTCTGACTTGATTTCCAGTCCTTAATAAATGTTCTATTTTTAAGAAGAGTCAACTAAAATTAGATTAGAGAATTCTATGCTGAATATAGCATGTAATGCTGACAGAATGGGAACAGCAAAACCAAAACCATCCAAAGAGCAGAGAAAAATGCAGAAGGACACAACCCATAATCCAAAAATGAAACAGAGACAATCATTTTGGCAACGACCAACCCATTCTAACAGCTAAGACAAGATACAGAGAACAGATTCAACCGTGTACCTACTGTAAAAGTAGAAAGAATTTCAATTTTCAATTCACATACTACTAGTCCTCAAAACAAGCATTAGCAGGTAAGAAGTTTCAATAAGAAACTGTTCCTTAATTCTATGACACCTCTACTTTATTACTGCTTCTGTTTCAACCTCATTTATGCTTTTTTCTCATGGAAGTATTTACACTAGTTTTTCACCAAGCACAGCCTAATCCTTTATGTAACTGTGGCAGTATTTTTAAACAAACTGCAACCTGATCTGGTTATCCATTTTTCTATGCTTGCCAGGGGTAAGCTGGATACCTGTTCATGGGAAAGTCACTGCATACAGTGCAAACCCCAACTCCTTTTCCAGAAGTTTCAGTACAAGTGAAGATGGAAATTGCAATGATAATCCTACTCTTAACCCTCTTTTCAGTCACTGAGGTATCACGAAGCAAATGAAAACTAAGGAATACTGTGCCACTTGTCAGATTCTTTGCAAAAAACACCCACCAAAGGAACAATCCTGGCAGACAGAAATCAACTGCTCCAGTTCAAACCCCCTGGGGCTCTGCTTTCCACGGTTTGTATCAGGATGCTTGGTCTTACAGATGGAGATACAACAGGGAGTTACAAGCCCTGACGCATTTAGAAGCTCCCAAACCAAGGCCCACAAATACAGGCCAATCAACAGAGGACTGGTTATCCATTCTCAACACTAAGGTTTAAATAAAGCACATGACACAAACCTGCAGCTTTGTCACAGCTGTTTGTTTGATCTCACTAGATCTCCAAATTCAGTAAGAACTTCTGAATAAGTACCAGCCACCTCAGAGTTTCAACTACACTTCTGCTTTTTTGACAGAATAAGTCCTTTAAAGAACTAATAAAATGTCCAAATTTTTAAAAACATCCAATATATAGTACTTGCACGATTTTGTTCTCAAATGTCTTGCTGAATTTGGGTTGCTATGGCAAAAGACAAAGCCTCTTACCACAAGCAGAAGTTATGATTGGTCTGTTCAACTCAGGAGGCCAAAAGTCAGCACAAGTGTACCAGGCTGAGGATCCAAGAAACACAGCTGATGCAGAAGCTTTAAGGTTTTAAATAACTGCTGCTCAAAATAGAACTTCCCAACCCATCACCTAAGTGACGTTACACAAGTGATATGTCCAGACAGAAGAGGTGACAGCAGCTCATTTTCCCTTCACTGTTAATAGTTCCATCCTAATTACCCCAACTGAACAAATACTGTAATACAGCAACATTACTGTTGAAACACAGATTTCTGTGGGTACAACATTACACGACAAGGTCACATCACAACAGCATTCTCAAAGCAAATTGGAGACATGAAATAAAGAAAGAAATACAAGTCCTTCCCAGTTCTGTGATACCA